CTAGTTCTGATTTCCGTTTCCAAACCCCAAAACCCCAAAACCCCTTAAGAAAAAATGCACTAAGATGTAAAGTATTATTGTTTTTTTTAATTTGCAATTTAACCTTTCATAATTTCTTAAGTGAGATTTTAGTCATTTGAACGCCTAAATAACTGATGATCTCTTGCTCTTATTGTTTCTACTGACACTATTTCTCGGATTCTACTATTATTTCCCATTTATTTATTTATTTTAAGCATTAATACTTCCCTTCTCTTTAAATAAATAGCCGTATTGTTTAACTACTTGATTGAGTATACTCATTGAATCCAAACCATTTTACTCAATTTCCACTATGTCTCTAGATGAAATATGTATTAGACCATTCCCCTTCTTGTTGCTATTTAGCTCTACTAACTTTCTCACCATATCTTATTCTTTAATCCTAGAAAAACTCTCTTAATTATTTAATACTTTCTTTGAACTGTTTTATATGAGCACCTTAGATTCATCATCAATAAATTATTAAAGCTCTTTAAAAGATTTAGAGTGTTCATTTTGAACTTTCTATTGATTTTTACTCTATTGAATGAAATCTCTTTCTATGATAGCATTTTTTATTAAATCTTTAACGAATTCCCTAGCATCATTGAGATTTTAGTCAATTTCTATGGCCTAGCTCTTTATCAACTCTCTATTTTACACAGTCCTAAAAATATTGCTGACATAGGTGGTTGCATCGAGATAATTTTACTAAAACTCAATCTAGGTTGGTATATTCCTCTTATATTTTGAATTCTCAATTCTTATAAAATCATTAAGCTTCTTCAATTTTTCTTTTTTCTCATTCATTGTAAAGTATTTGTTTAAATTCTATTATATTTGAGCTGGACGTTGAAGTTATGTCTTCATTTTATTTAGTTACTATTGATACGAAGATTACATTTATTTCTTTTTTACTTCAACTTTTTAGACTACCGGTTTCACTTGAATTTAGTCTTATTATGATTTTTTAGATTCTGAATTTTAATTATAAGTTTATTCAGAAACGAAATAGTTTGATTGCTTTTAGCTAGCAATTATATAGCTATTTTTGCTAAAGTTTGCCCCATTGTTATCAACTTATGATTATGTTATTTTTGCTTAGAGTTTCTAGTCTGATGAATCATTTCTATATAGATCAGGCTTTGAAGCAAGCATTCTATTAATGGGATTTTACTTATCAGATAAGAAACTAGCAGTCATTAATTTGTTGGCTTTTATATTTCCATTTTTTTATAATGATACCACTGACTAGGTAATACTTTAGCATTTAGAAAGATAATCAGGAGTAAAACATCTTTTTGAGCTATTGGAAGCAATCTTCTATGATACTTTATTCAGTTACGGTCTAAACTCAGATTTTAGTTCCTCCTCAAGTTTCTATATTTTCTGCTACTTTTGCTGGTTTACTAATCCAAATCTTTTATCAATAGGCATTAAATCATGAGTTAACTCCTAAGATATCTTATTTATTTCAGGCTTAAATGAATAAGTAGCTGACTCATTAGCTATTAGATCCTTTATCTACTTCCATTTTTAAATCTAAGCATCATACTTTGCATTAAACTGCTCAAGGTCTATCAATTTAATAGTTTGACTAGTCTTATTAAGTCCATACTCCAATTCTTCTTTCATCTTTTGATCCATCTCTATTTGCCTCTTTTATTCATTTAATCTGTCAAATCTCTAGTTTCTATCCTAAACCTCCGCTTTATATCTATCAGGATCATAAATAGGCTTTCGTGATCTAATTTAATTAATATCACTAGAATTATCATCATCATCATTGTTATTAATCAAGCAAGTTCTTTTTACTGTTTTACCACCAGATGCCGCACTGTTTGTTGATAAATTGCGCTTTTTCTGAATTAAACTGCTATTCTATACTGGAAGAATTTGGGATTTGGTTATTTCATTTGACGACTTATTAACTGAAGTAGATTAATCAACTAATTTGTAAGAATTTCTATCCGGCGTTACTGATCTTTTATAGAGTGGTGAATATCTCTTCATCTCCATTTTCTAAGATAGCTTAGTCGAGACAATTATATCTGCTATTCTATTCTTAAGGTTTGCTGGATTAGATTATTACAACATGGCATATTGATTCGACATTTTTGAGTTGTTCCTTGTTTTATCTATTTAATCAGCATTTAAAAATCTGGTTTTTGTTGAGCTGCTTTCTTCTTTTTTACCCTTTTGTGAAGGTTGTTTAAACTTCTGAAACATATCATCAACTATTGTCTATTTTCCTATTATATTTTAGGTATTTTTATTCTCATTGCTCTAGTCATATTTCATGTAAGACTTATGTTTTTATATCTATAAATTCTCTATTGAGTTTATTTCTTGACTTTGATTCACAGTTTTATTCATTTATTATTTTTGCAATAGTTTATCAGCTGTTATATCAATATTTTGTCGAGTTTTCATACTCTATTTGCCAAGAAGACTAGAAAAGTATCCTTTTTTGAAGGTGATGAGCTTATTTTACTTGTTTTTATCATTATCAAGGAAGGATTTATAGTCTTTTGGAGTTTCATTCAGAACTTTGCTTAAGGTTTAGTTGTAACTTCTTCTGATTTCTGGTGTCTCGTTATTGCTATTTAAGCTACCTTTAAGAGCAACTTTTAAAGGAGACTTATTCTAGGTGTAAGCCAAAGATTTTATATCATTCCGAGATTTTAGCTACATTTTATTTTGAATTCCAATAAATAAAATAAAATATTTTATTTGATGCGATAAGCAGATCACCCTGGTGGGGTTTTGGGGTTTTGGGGTTTTGGGG